AACCTTCCAATCTTACACAGAACTGACTACATTAAGGTCATACATTACATTCAAGGTTGAGAGCCTGTGATGCAAGGGAAAAGAAACATGTACTGATCACCCAATTTCACCTCTTGAGCATGTCCAAAATTTTACCCAAAAGTACATCCATTAAACATAAGTGGTCCTTATTACTGTGAGAGCCTTGTGATGGTGGAGTGATTCTAGTTCTGTTTTATAAATGGGAATATGAGTACAGAAACTAAAATGTCTTGTCAGACGTTACAAAGTTGTTTCTACTTACTTGAATAAGCTCATATTTGCCAAACTATTGTCCTGGTCCTTTGCTAGAATTACATGACTCTTCGGCTTTGTCTGCCCTCAGGGAGGGCTGGAGATCACAGCTCTACACCGGAAGGCAAACAAAGAACTCTTGGAGAGTAAGGAGTGGTCATACACCAAAACACTTCTAACTTTCTCAGGCAGGTGCTAGAAGTCTTGGCATCCAGAAAGTAGCATAACACTTCTCTCATCGGTCAGAATTTCCATCTGAGTTGCAATTCAAAAGCAATGTTGTTAGGTCTCACCTGCACCTTTCCTTCCCTCCTGCATCATAAATTTCCACTATCATAAAACTGCTCCAAGGAGCTGTGAAGCCCATTCCTACCCTAATTGATCTGTGCTATGTTAATATTCTCAATTAGTTTGTGGATTTTCCAAATAGTTTTTTGAATTTAATTGATGCTTTCTTGTCTGGTTAAAAATATGTTTCTGCTGGCATGAATGGACACTGATGCTGGTTTACAGATCAGGCATGTGATAACATGAATTGATGTAATGTAAGTGCTGCCAGGAAATAAAGAGCAGTCATCCCCAGCAGGCTTCAGCATATCAAACCTCTGCTTTAAACTTCCACAGAGCTTTTAGCCCAGACAGGCTACTGAATCATATAAGCTGACATGCTGTATATCACAGTCCATCATAGTAACAAAGTTGCCCTATTAAAGTGGTGATGGCTCGGGTTAGGCAAACTCCTCCTGACACCAGGGTGCTTGCACCACAGAAAGAAACAGCCACAGAAAAGCATGCTCTTATGTCCCAAATCTGTGTGTCCTGTAAGGGCATACTCTCAAACCTCTACCATGATAGAGGAACAAACCAGCAAGAGATAATAGGCCAAGGTGACCTTTGCCACAAAGGCAAATGTTTATCTCTGGTCCTCCCTGCTAATAGACTAGAAGAAAATTCCCCAAGTCATCTCCAATTCTGCTGAATGATCACTGACCCTGGGATCAAGACAGTGAGCATCACCACGACATGAGGATTTCACAATTGTCTGACAATTTCCCGCCATACATCAGAACACCAATTTGTCTTATGTCGTTTACACAACCTTAAATGAATCACAAGAAAATAGCATGAAGCCTTTTCAAAGTGTACTAGGGTAGTTGTATATGAATTGCAAGAGAAAAATCACTGCAGTCACTGTGATGAGCTGCAACTGTGACAGATCAGTTGAATATAAAACAATATAAAACTTCTGTTGTTTCTTGGCACATGAAAAAGGGAAATCAAGGAGTTGAGAGATTTAGTCTCTGGATGAGAAGACAACATTATAAGGGGCAAAGTCCAATTTCCATGCATCTAAAAATTCAGTGTATCCTGAAAAAAAGCCGCAGAGATCTTTCAGAAAAGTAGCTATCTTAAAAGCTACATAAGATTCATTTTTGGAATAATGTTAAACTTTCCTAAATGTTGCAAATGAGCATAGAACAATATCCAGCAATTAACATGGGAGCTTTGATTGAAAATACATTTTATATGTCTGTAGTTTGGTTCAGTGAAACCTATGGGAAACTTGGTATGGCCAGTGAAAAAGTACACGTGAACCAAACTGATAAAATTTATGGATTGATGAAGCCTGATCCAAATGCAAATTTCAAATTTGTCACGTGATCCCAGGTTGGTGCTAGTACATCATCTGTACCTGAATTTGACACTGGAAGATTTCAAGAGTGTTTTACAGTCCTAAAGTCATAAACATCAAGCCATAACTTGCTGCAAAGCTACTTGTTGTGAACAACTGCAGAGCATCTGAGAATGGGTGAGACTGTACATCAGGAAAAGCTGGGATGAAGCTCCAAATTCTGTCACAGCGAAAGGTGGAGATGCTGCCCAAGTAGAATTGCAGGTGTAGGAACAATAAACCATGACTACACTCACACCACAAATGGATGGGGATGTGTCTTCTTCACAAGAGGGATTCTGAACTGAAAGACTGTGTCCAGATAAATGGCATCCAATAAGAGAACACCAGTCAAGCACTGAGCACTGTGGAACACAATTAAAAAGACCTTAAAAAGTGGGAAAAGATTAATTCCAGAAACACTAGCTCAGCTGGTAGTAAGTAGCTTAGTAAGGTCTGTGCTACTGTCACACCTGACAACATTTCAGTTGGCTGAGTCAACTGCAAATATGCTGCTGATGTCTGCTGCAGCAGTATTTCGATCATGTGCAGATGGAAAGCAAGTGTACCACACAGATAATACAACAACTGTTCTTAGGTCTTCTGTACTTTGATCTGGTTTTATGTACATTATTTTTTAGGCTGATGTGACCTTTTCTGCTTCACACATGTACTGCATTGGCATTTTAAGTGAGGGGAAAAAGTCATCAGCAAAATTTTTGGATCATGTATCCATTATTTGCTGGTGTTTTACTAAAAATGCTGGCAATTTTCCAGTTCATTAAGGTTCATCTCAGATCTGGCTCTGCTGGCAAGAAATAAAGCTATTAGGATGCCAATAGTAAAACATTTAACCTAAATTAAAAAAAAAAATAAAATCCCTACTGCTTGCAAAATAGTAACATAATAATTATGGCTGAAGCTGGCTGAAGTAATTTCTAGTTTTAATGTATATGTATCTAAGGGAAAACTGTTCTGTCTCTTTAATTCCATAGAAGCTGTCTTGGTCAATTAAGTTACTGATAGCTAAAATGGTTTGTAACGTTTACTGTATTTGTTGTAAGCAAGGTACTAAAAGCTTGAGGTCTCAGCAGAGAAGGCCCTAGGAGAAAAGCAGTACTGACTTCAAATTAGAAAATAATTTCTCCCCTAAGCAAAATTCATACTGATTATTTAAACAACTTCCATTCCCTTGCCATTCTAGGCAGAGGGTACTTAAAAGCAAGCATATTGTCCTAGCTCAGCCAGCCTCCAGTCCTGCTGACATGTGTGGGGACAGACATGGTGGTTCCATGTGCAATGCTGCTTTGCCTCCTGCATCGCTCTGATGCAGATCCTGTGACAGCGAAAACAAAGGAAGACTCTCATTGATTTGTGTAAGAACTGGGAAGTCTTTCTACCTAACAACTACTCAGATTACAAGGGATTTATAGGCTGCATTGTCCTATATCTTGTTCCTTGTGAACCCATTTATCTGCCCATGTGTTATGAATGCTGTCAGGGCAAGGTGGGTATCAACTGCTGCCATGCTGATTGGAACAGCAGTTCATGCAAAACCACCATATCTATTCTGCACTGCAGAAAGCCTCATCTTTCTAGAAAGTTTCCTAAGAGTGCCTCCTTTTCCGGTCTCTCTTGCATTTGAGAGATGCATATTACAAATGTGTAAAACGGCCAATAAGCAGCTCCATATTGCCCCATATGGCAATATAGAACTTTTACTCATACACAAACTTTGAATGCTGAACCAAATTATACAATGTACTAGGTGACCTTCAGTAAGTGTCAAGAAATTACAACTGCTCAGAGGACCAAGAAGACTCGTGGAAGAGCAGTGGAGGCTCTAGCAACTCTGGAATGTTATGTATGTGATTGCAATAGCTGCATCTATGTTGTGGAGTGGTCACATTAGCAGCTGAAGAAAAGTACTTCATCAGCACTTACACTAATACAAGATGAAGACTGAGAGGCCTGGATGGAGATAAGTAAAAAGGAACAAGCAGAATAATGAAAATAAGCCCACAAATATCACAATTACCTACTCTTCCCTATACAGAGCTGGTCAGTCCCTGGATATTAGGGTAAATTTCTGCATGAATTAGATCTATTACTTCAAGATAGTGCAGAGTCTGGGTCAGAGACACAGGTTTTCTGTTGCTATTGTTTCCAGGTTTTGCTTTGGGAAGGGGAAAATGCTGAGCTTTTAAACTGCCAAAACCTACAGTGTAGAGTTTCAGCTAGGGCTAAAGCATCAGAGCCCCCTCCGTTGCCAGCACTGCTGGAATACGGCTGTGTGAGAGACTTGAACCATATCTGTCTGTCTGTCCTTTCTCTGTTGATGCGCACTAATCCTAGCTGATCCTTACATGAGAAAATAAAGAAAATATAAGAAGAAACGAACCACCTTTGTGAAAAGTAGGAGATCATTCCTGTGAATGAACTGATCTGTACAATACTGGGATTAGAGTCTGGCTTATTTTAAACTATCTACAAATCATCTTGAGACTGTTCAGGTTTGAGAGCTCTGTGTTTAAGTTACAGCAATATATATACAATAGCAATATCACCAGTTATAAACAAAGCATCTACTGGCATAATGTGGACTCAACTACTGATGCATATATTGCATCAACCTTCAGCAAATGAAACATTAAATGAAGTCTGTTCAGGAAGTCTTCTGCGGAATAAACAGAACACCTGTAATCGCATTCACTTCTTGTCCAATGCCAATAAGTGAACTACAAGTATGTGCCTGTTTCTTTTATTTATAACCACTGAGCCAGGTTGTGTTTCCAGGCACAGCTTGTGAATTTTGCAAATTGTTGCCCTGATCTTTTTCCTAGTTTTGAGGTTTTATAAACCTGTATCATCATCATCATGGTTAGGCTTCGCGAACGAAGATTTGGGATAAACCTGTATAGAAGCTGTTTAATTCTACTACCTTTCACTAGTAGGAAGTGGCCTACATGGAGATGTCTGGGCTTCGATTCTGCTACAGTTACCTTTTCTCCTTGCTCTTCTTCATGTTCCCACTCTCCCCTTTATCACTACTTACTCAAAGGGGTCGCTGGGATCAGCTCTCTGGAGCTCTGGAGGAATCGGTATTCTTTTGTAGTACATTTCCCAGTCAAAAGCTCCTCGCATGGCATCCCCCGCCTGTGCCTCGTAGCCAAAGTGATTGTGGTCAATGACATCGATCATAGGACACACGATGGTTTTGTGGTTAAGTGCAATCTGGTCTGAAAAATGAAAGTAGAAAATAGGAAACGGCATGTCTAGTCAGGCCATCTATCATATTACTGCAAAGTGAATCCCACGGGTTTCTGATGTTTGAAGATTGCTTGCTTTGTGCCCTATGGCCCCCCAAATAATTTCATTTTCAAATCTGTATCAAACTTTTATCTAAAGTGGAATTAATGCAGTTGGGAAACGATTAGAAGTATTTACAGTTCTTTAAAGGGAGGCATATCCCTGTGAGACCCACATGAGTCCAGTCATGTATATCTCTGCCACTTTGCTACTCTTAGCTGTCCCTAATCTGTCAGCTATGAAACAAACCAGCAAGCAAACTGTAAAAATACTCCTTCAGCTGTGGGGAGTGTGTATGGCAAGTTCCTGCAAGAGGGATTTGTGTTCCTAAATGTGAAACTCAGCCCTTGCAACCATTCAACCACTGTTCCTACGGCTGTAGTGTGCATCAGCTTTGAGATCAAATGCTCTAAATTAAAGGCAAACTCCAACATGAAGAGCAAAACAGAGCTTGTGTCCTTTTCTTGTACCAATCTTTGAGATATAAAGAAGGTTCCACAGTATTATTCTTACCTGCTTTCTAAAGAAAGCAGTTTGGGTTTGCTTTTTTTTAAAGAAAAAAAATGTTAGAACTGTGAGGCTAAATCAAATTCCCACGTCTAGTATAAGTTCAAAGTGGTCTTCAGTCTGCTTTGGTGAATCCTATTGTTTAATCCTACAGAACTCCTCCGAAAAAAAGGTAAAAAAAATAAGATATGCTGACTGCAAGAACTAGGCAGAAGAATGGCTTGAAATCAGGAAGTACAGAGAAAATCCGAAAGGATTGACATGAAAGGACAGTAGAAAAACTACCTACAAACCCCTGAAAAAACTAAAATCTCAACATTCCAAGAATAATAAAGCTTTTTCTCTGAATGGCAGCCTAGATCCTTTAAATTATTTAGTATAGGAGTTAGGGTCTATGTGGAAAACTTGGTTTTTGTTTTTAAGGCTTAGATTTCACTGGTGCTTGATAATACCCTAAAAATAATCAGAGGGCTCAGTATGGATTGAACACTTAGATAGGAAGGTGTACACCAGTCAGGTGTAGACCAATACTCGTACAATGATTAATAATACAGATTCTTCTTCCTTGCTTCTGAGGGACTGAAATTGAGAAAAATAGATTATTTTAGCAAAGCATCTGAGTTTTTATATTTATTCTAAGTTGCTGTTAAGAGGCTGTCCAAATCACTGCTGACCGCTAGTGAGAAATTACTGTGACTGGAAGTTCAGCAGGTTTTTACATCCTTATCCTTTAATAGTGAAATAAATTTAAAGCACAGGCTCTTACAAAATTCTAGGAAACTCATCTCAGAGATAATGGCTGCATTACTGTTGCTATTCCAAACATAATTACATTCACTAGTATACTGTGTAGTGTTATCTGTGATCATTATATAAAGTCACTTCTACATAGTCTCTTTCCGGTGATGGTCCTGCTAATAGTTATAGGACTCATAACAGTCTGACTCTGTTCCCCCCCTTCTAAATTGATTGGAGGAGAGAAACTAAGTGGGATTGATTTGGCTGGAGCAGGTCAAAGGTAGACTCATAACGCTTTAGCATCCCTCTCTTCATCTTTAAAAGCTGCTGTCTTTAAATACACTGAGGGATTTGAAGTCTCCAAGTCACATGCAGAGATAGTCAGGGAGAAATTTATTTGAGCAATGCTCAAACTCAATACCAGTCTTCATTTTGCAACTCTCAAGAATTTTGTAAGTATGATGATGCTTACCTGCCTGCTTTTGTGTATTTCTGCAGAACTTACTTCTCAGCCCCCAAAATGTTTTAGAGATGAGGAACCATGGGAAGATCTTGACTTTTGATGAAACCAGGGCGTTTAGTTGTGCACACCAAAAAGCAGAGTAACCAAAGTTGCAGCCTCAATGTTTCTTTCATATGCCTAAAATAATGTATTTTGCATATATACTACTTAGGCTTAAATGTAGCATGAATAAGAATTTAGGAAACAGAAAAAAAGTCTGTAGGGTTAGCTTTCACATTTCACAAGGGTGCTGGTATCATAGCTTTAGAGATGTAAATATGCTGCTGCGTTTGTCAGCTACTGCTCTTTACCCCACCTGCTCCTAATGCAAGACACCCAAAAACACTGCATAAATGCTTCACAATTTCTTTTCCGTTGCCTTTATTCATCATCCTCTCACAAACTCCTACTGGTGTATGAAAATATCCATGCATTGTTTCAATGCATCTATGCTGCAGTTAAAGGGAAGAACAGACAGATAAGCATCACTGTACATGCAAAAATCTTGCAGGCTTCAGGGAAAGCCTGGGAAGAAGAGAGAACATTGCTCAGAGCTTTCTCCCTAGCAATTTTAAGCAATATATACACACATATTTGAATTCCGCACTTTCAGTATCAAACAGAGTGTGCATACATGGCAATAAACAAGAAGTTTTCAATATTGGATGAGGCACTATTTCAGTAGGTTTTATCTTTATGAGAAAGATGCACCTCTTTAATTTCAAGTGGTTGTTTCAAATTGACCTGGATAAAGTAACAATGCCAAGTTGCAAATACTCTTATTTTTGCAATTTTTCATTGCAAATACTATTATTGTCCTGCTTAAATATGAGATTACAGACAGTGACAACATTTGAGTGGTTCAGCAAATTATGTCTTGTTATCTGAGTTGTCATAAGTCCTTGTATCCTCAGTTTCCCCACTGACAAGCAATACATCATACACATGTTGTGGAGATGGATGGCTGTAGTGAGTGAGTGTTTTGATAACTTGCTAAGCATAATCTAATCATGATACAATTTTAATTTTTGGTCAGGAAAAAAACACATTTTAACAAACCTAGTTCTGGTACCCTATGGGACTACTGATCTATTGCCCATCTCTCCGCTTACTTCTCCTGCAGTAACATCAGGAGAAGGAAATATGTGCCTGCACCTTTCAGCTGGTTCACCATTCAGTTTCTTATCTGCAATAACTGTGACTTCACACTGCACTAAACTGCCAACTACAGCAGCTAGAGCCCAAGTTACACCTTTCCTTCTGCTGACTTTATACCACCAAGGAGTGACAAAAAACAGCTGTATTTGCCAGCCTTTTTACATCACTACAGCTGCCCACTCAGTGAATATGAGTATCTGGTATCTCAGTGTCTTATCTAAGTTTAACGGCCCTTTTAAGCTAAATAAACTAAATAAAGCTTAAAGAAAATAAAGGCATTTTACACCAGTTTTTAAGAAAGCAAAACAAAGGACTGTAACTGCAAACAACTGTGGCTCAGCTCTACAAAGCCAATTAGACACCCTACAAGTAATAAAATAACTCAGTTTTCCTTTGGTCTAAAAGCTGACAGTCAATTCTGAAAATATAAGTTAGATACTTAAATGTAAGAACCATCTTTAAGTGATTGCTCTCAGTTTCTTCACCACCCCCTTGTCCTCTAACTTTCAAGGTCTTGTTCTGAACAAAAGCTGGGCTGGAACAGTGGAAACCACTGCCCCTCTCAGTGAAGGCTGCCAGCCCAGAGCAGGGCTGAACTGTGTTCTTGATACTGTCTCCCACAGCATTCTCCTGGAGAAGCTGGCAGTTTAGATGGGTGCACTCTTCACTGGGTAAAAAACTGGCTGGATGACCAGGCCCAGAGAGTGGTGGTGAATGGAGTTAAATTCACTTGCAGAAGGTCACAAGTGATGTTCTCCAGGGCTCAGTACTGGGGCCACTTCTCTTTAACATCTTTATCAACGATCTAGATGAGGAGATCAAGCGCAACCTTAGTCAGTTTGCAGATGACACCAAGAGTGTCAATATGCTGGAAGGTAGGAAGGCTCTGCAGAAGGATCTGGACAGGCTGGATCAATGAGCTCAGGCCCGGGGGTCACAACAACTCCATGCAGCACTACAAGCTTGCGGATGCGTGGCTGGAAAGCTGCGTAGAGGAAAAGGACCCGGGGGTGCTGGCTGACAGGTGGCTGAACATGAGCCAGCAGTGCCCAGGTGGTCAAGAAGGCCAATGGCATCCTGGCCTATATCAGCAAAGTATGGCCAGCAGGACCAGGGCAGTGATCACACTCCTGTACTGGGCACTGGTGAGGCTGCACCTCAAGTCCTGTGTTCAGTTTTGGACCCCACACTACAGGAAAGACATTGAGGTGCTAGAGAGAGTCCAGAGAAGGTCAGCAAAGCTGGTAAAGGTCTGGAGCACAAGTCTGCTGAGAAGTGGCTGAGAGTACTAGGGTTGTTCAGTCTGGACAAAAGGAGACTTAGAGGAGACCTTATTACCCTTTATAACTACCTGAAAGTAGGTTGTGATGAGATGGGGGTCAGTCTCTTTTCCCAGGCAAGTAGTGATAGGAGAAGGGGAAATGGCCTCAAGTTGTACCAGGGGAGGTTCACATTGGGTATTAGGAAAAAATTCTTCACTAGTTAAGCATCAGAACAGGCAACCCAGGGAAGTGGTGGGCTCAACATCCCTGGAAGTGTTCAAAAAAGGCGTGGACTTGGCACTTCATGATATTGTTAGTGGACATGGTGGTATCAGGTGAAAGGTTGGACTTGATGATCTTGCAGATCTTTTCCAATCTTAATGACTCTATGGCTCATTTCAGAGAAGAAAGCAAGAAAAGGAACTGGTTTTGCAACTTGCAGTTTTCCCATGTTAAAGTTTGCAAAATAGAAGGGTTACTGCTGTAACTTAGCAAAAGACTTCGGAGGACAAAAGTGAGAAACTTCCTGAGATTTTTTTAATTTGTGGCAATCTATTATGAGAAGTGGGGCAAAACCAGAAAACAAAGGAAATGTGGCTGTATATGTAGAGTGCTCTAGAGGGTTTAACAGCTACTTGTTGGGGATGCTTGTTGAAGGCATGTTAAAACTTGTATTTTTCTCTGCTCCTTTATACCATTTGTGCTTCACATGAAGTCATGGAGGTTATTTTTAAAAATGTAGATGTTGTGACTAAGGGCAAAGGGGTAACAAGGGGAAAGACTGTATGTATAATTTGATACAGAAACTAGAAAGTATAAAAATTTAGAATTTTGTGCATTATCTTGTTATTGATCTGAAGAGAAACTAGTATTTTTTTTTTGGTCTCTAGTGATAGTTCATTAGCAGAACAGCACATCTTGCCTGGAAATGCTTTATCAGCTTACTGTGTGGCCCAACAGTCCAAACAACAAAATTCAAGAAATAATAACCATTAATTGGTGAAACCATAACCTGTTCTCCACTTACAACAGGCTTTTTTAATTAATACAAATTTCTTTAATAGGAAACTCAGAAATTTTCTTTGGTTACGGTAGCAAAAGAAGCACTCACTTTACAAAGCATATACACTTTGCATGTAGTCAGGTGCGTAGAAAAGCGGACATTGTTTTCTGAAGTGAAATCCTAGGCTACAATCGATTCTTTCCATTCCTTTGACTAATGGAGCTTTGCTGGCTGCAGCTGGAATCCAGCAAAGCAGTCAATAGCATATCATTCTTTCTGAGCTTCCTGTTGTGAATGTAGTTGCTACTGGCTTTAACACTAAGGCCTTGGATACATTTACAGTAAAAACTGTTTTAGTGAAACGTGGAAGACTAGGAAGGAGTACAATACCTACATAAGAAAACTTTCCTGGTATATAATAAGGACATAGCATAGTACTAGATTTAGTAGTGTATTTCGTAGTATTAATAATAAAACACATTGTAACTATATTAGGCCAAAGAGATACTTCAAAATTTTACTAATTCTTTAGTCATAAGAAACAAAATAGAGCTGCTTACACTTCTCAGAGTTCTCTCTCATGATGACACTCCACACACTGCAGCAGAACTTCAAACACTTTGATAAAGTGTATGTCCTGCTTATTGTGGGACACAGCTTCAGTTGTTTGCTCTATGTTCTAATTTTAATGTCTGATGAACGCTCATACACTTACTAAGCAAGGGAGGCAGCCAATTCACGTTGACTTCGCAATGGGAATCCAGAAATGTCAAGACTTCTCCTCTAGCCAGTGAGGCTCCTAGCAGTCTGGTTCGAATGAGCCCTTCTCGTTTCTTGGTTCGTACAATCCTCACTTTGGCAAAACGGACCATGTATTCCTCCAGCTTCTCTTTTAAATGTTCTAGAAGGAAGGGCAAAAAAAGCGTCAGTGGTGCCAGGCCTGGAGGAACCAACAGAAGGACAGGTTGGCATATAACCTGCAAGCAGCTTATCTACTTCCATCTCTTGTCACTTCAAGTCCTTCAAACTGCCATAAATCCTCCCAGAAGTGGTTCAGAAAGTGCAAATATTCTCTGTTTTATCACACAGAGGAAGACACTGACACACTGCTGCAGTTGCTACTGGCAACCTGCCATCCACAATATAATAGCCAAAACAACTGCAGGATATTCATCCATCCTCTGGTTCCTGCAGCCCAAGGCCATATAAACATTCTGGCATGCTGTTTTAGAAACAGTGTCCTTTCCAAATGGGTCTCCTATATCAACTAATTATGAAGAACTATGCATGGAAATAAATTTTAAAAAATAAAACTAGAATGGTTATGTTGTTTTTGCAATGGAAAGGGAAACAGATATGAAGAAAGATCTTAATAGCTGGATATCAGCATGAAGCACATAGACAGACAGCTGACTTCCTAGTAAAATCAAGCTGTAAATGTAGAATAGTTGATAGGTTCTCTGATCTGCAAAATCCATCTCTGTATCACAAAACATCATCTTTGTTAACATTTTTTCTTCTGACTAGAAACGCACACTAAAAATAATAAAAAAACCCAACAACAAAAAACACCCTATAGTTTAACTGCTTCCTAAATACATCTACAACACAAATCCTGATCTTTGGTCTTTGCTGTAAAACCTCAACTTTCCAGACTCATTACTTTAGAAAAATATGATAACTTCATTTGTAAAGGAAAAAGGGAGAGAAAAGCTTAGTCTCTGATAATTAAAACTGTTGATAAGCCACATTTAGTGATGCTAGGGGTTGCAAGCTAAGTTTCAGTGAAATGGCTTTCCCAGGTTATGATTGTTTCTTACATTAGTTACTGATTCTTTGGACTTTTAGGGACAGCACAGGCCTTGATTCAGACATTATATCATAATAGATTGCAAGAAATCCAAAAGGACTGCCATTTAGCAGTACTCTGGAGTACTGGAGTACCTGCTGACACACAGACTACAGGTAATGAGCAAATAAGTCACAGTGCAGACAATTCAGGATCTTGTGTGAAAATAAAATTAAGCTCCACTGAAGCAGAGCTTCCTGCACATGCTCCTTCTCATCTCCCTTCTGTCCTAGTTAACAAACACGTAAGACTCTCCAAATTTACCTGTAAATTAGGAGGAAGTAGAATACTGATGTGTAGTTATGTGTATTCAGTGGGAGAGTGCTACACTGGATGCTCCTCTGCACTGAGGAATCCTGATGCATGCTGGTACAGAAGAGGGACCTGGGAACATCAGCTTGCAAGGATTACAGAACAGGATGGGGCTTTTGGGAGGAGAAAGTCGACACTTTGGAGATGTGCTGAGTCAAGAGAGTGGTTTGTGTTCATAATACTGCTCAGGAGAAGTATTAGAGCAAGTGAGGAAAGCCAAGATTGGGAGGGTGGGAGAAAGAATGACATTCAGATAAATAGAAAATGGTTTTTGTTTTCTACTCTGTGGTTGACTGTAGAATATACATTTAAATTCTGAAATAAGAAGGAAAGAGGTATCCCTTTATCTATCCCATTTCACTACTTACATACTCAATAAAAACCCAACACAATCCCTCAAAAGTCACAATGTCAAGAGATGTTTTTTGTCCTGAATGGTGGGCTTTTGTATGACCAACCATATTCACAAGACAAAGCTTGTGTGCTACTCTGACTCATTTTAGGTACCAGCTACAATTCAGTATTGTGACTGAACTGAGGTTCATTCAAGTCTTGGATCATTTTGTGTCCACAGGTAAGACACTTTAAAGTGTGTATTTATTGAACTGTTTTCCTGTTTTTATGAGCTCCATTGAGACTATTCCCTTGGTGCTGGAACACAGAAGAAGGGAAATAGAGTTTAAAAACAAAGATACAAAGACCTTGCAGGTAATATAAGAAAGTCTGTTAGGGTTGTCAGTCTGGATTTTTTTCTATATTGTAAATCGTATCATCTAATAGCCAGGAAAAATGAAACAGCTCCAAAGTGACAGGTTATTACATATTTCCAGAGTAAATCAAACCTAATCTGTTAGGTACCATAGCTTCTGTTAGTCCTCAGACACCAGAAATTTCCTGTATTTCTCTAAGGTCACCTAACCTTTTTCCTTTGACCTCTTCCACCCATAAGTTTGCACTGAATAGTGCATAGAGACACAGCACCAAGAGCAAGACCACATTGCTGTGCACTATACAGATAAGTGTTGCCTGTGTATTTTGGTGCTGAAAAAAATCTCCGGAGCAGTTAATTAGGGGTGAGATAAGAAAGGGTTTATTTGCAAAGGCAGTAGGTGATATACGACGCGCGCCCGCCGTGCCTGAGAGGTTACATTTTATAACACTGTCCATCCAATCCCAAATGTGTCCACCCTGTGGCCTTTCCTCTGGACCGCCCCGGGCCCACCCCCTTAGAATTGGGTCTGGGGACTTTTTGGGACCACCTACTTCATCATTCTCATCATCCTCAGAGCACAAAGGGTACATAGTTACCTAATTTTTGACCGTATTCTGTGGTTTAGGCCCTGATATGCTGTTCTGTCAACTGTTTAGGCCTTTGCCTTGACAAAAGACTAAACACTCTGCTGTATTCAGAAGCAGGATTGATATGGAAAGCATAGAATGGGGTAAGAGGGTTAGGGAATATATAAACAAGGCTGTTGGAGAGAGGGAAAGGAACAAGGGATAAAGAAGGAAGGGGTTTCTGCTTTTAAAAACCTACCTATAAAACTTACAAGTCTTACAAATATTAGAAAAATAAAAAAACCATTAGGGGCTTAAGGTATCATAAGTAATAAAAAGAATCAGGTTACTCAGCCTGAACACAGCTCTCCAATTGTGGAAGCAAGCATTAAATGCCTTGGTTATAGTGCAAATCTCCCATCATCACCTGCCTACCCTTAGAGACTCCAGTTGATCAGAGCATAGCTCTGAATTTGATTATGTATCAGATACAATTACTTTAGTCTTCCTTGTGAGCTGGTTCTATGCAGTTTCCATCCTTGTATGTGAAGGCAGCTACCAAGAAAGCATTGAAACTCTCTGATGGAGAGAAGCAGGAGCCTTACTCGAACAACCCAAATTGTTTGTGGTATCGCTAGGCTCTCTGCTGCCTGTAGGCACACCTGAATTGGACATTCACTAGTTAGGTGTCACAATGGTTAAGGTAAGGCCCTTTCAACAGGCAGTTTTGAATATGGCCACCACTGATGTTTAAATGAACTAATACAAATGCATTCTTTTCATGTATTCTGACTGTTAACATTTGTCTTGGGCCAAATTAATTCAGTGAAATTCAGTCTTTTACAAAGGACTTAATTTCATTCCTTTCACATCTTGCAGTGAGCAAATTCTGAAAGCTTGAGTGCCTATCTTTTCAGGAAAACACTTCAGAGAGAGATGATGTAAACTCTCATATTATGATACATTCTTTTCTGTTCTTATATCAATTGCTAAATAACAATGGAGTTGAATAATATGATTTGATTGTCATCAGTTGTATTGGACCTTGAACTCCATGAAATCAATGGTAGTTCACACTGTTCTTTCATTGCTTCATATTCCCCGCAAACTCAGGAAAAAGGTCTCTCAAATTTTAAACTTTTTTTTTTTCATGTGAGAATAATATATGAAATTCTGTGGAGCAAACAAGAGCTCTGTACCACCTTCCTCCCTCTCTCTCACATAGCTCTTCACACATTTCAGACAGCAGGTCACCTGATTTGTGAAGAACTGCATTAAAACATCCAGCACATCTTTTGATGTCAGAATCACATATCCCAAAATTGTTTTCATCTAGTCAATTAGTTCCATAACTGAATAATTTTATTATTTTTTCTCTGTTGCTCAAAGAACAAGTTGAAAAAAAGCAGTATACAAACATAATTTGCACACCTTGTTTACACAGAATTCTAAATGCATCCTCATTTAGACATATCTGGAAGTAGTCAGGAAGAAAATAAAACTAATAAATGGTAAATTTTATAGAGCTTATTTAGAAAAATGACATTAAAAGATCAAGTCTGCATACAAATCAACATATATAGATTACTAGAGATACATAAGGTATTAAAATTTTATAAAACAATTACATGTTAGTAATATCCTAACCGTTAAGTCACAACATAGCCAAAGAGATGCCTGTAGCAATACCTACTGTATCTTTAGCTCTGAGATATGGCAAGAAAGGTAGTTTTGGAATTTATTTGGGAAAAAAAAATCACAATAGCTACAGAAAACTATAAAAACACTGCAAAGTATTTAAGTTCAATGACCAACTCCAATATGGTTGTCAGAATCAAAAGACCTTAAAGTGAAGGAAAAAAATTCCCTTTTGGATCCATAAGTAATGATTTTTTAAACTTAAATCAATATGAAAGTGCTCTCATGCTCTATTTTCTCCTGTAATGTCTTGTAGCAATATCTGTTTTGAATCTTATCAACCTCTAAAAGCATAAATAAAGACAGAGTAACAGCCAGCAACAGTAGAACAGTATGTAGACCATAGGAGTTTTAAAGAAAACTGCAGTGTTTTTTACTATTTATATAAGTAGTAAAAGCATATCTTTCATGTTGAACCACTCATTAAACGTACTCCTGCTTTACTTAAGACTCTTTAAAGCAAAATGATAAGTCTTAAGGACCTTCAGTCAGCAGCTGGCTTTAAAGGCTAACTACTTAATGCAAGAGCCTGTGTTTGAGCCAAGGGTCATGAAGACATACCTGCTCTGACAGACAATAACTGGGAATCTCACAGCTCAACTGTTGCTTAAAACAGACAAGATTTTTGAATTCTCTGTATGGGAATAATTGTGATTAAAAAATGATCTCAGTGTTTGTGATCACTGACAAATTTGGATTTTTTTAGTCTAGTATTATGCCAAATATATTAAAATATACTGCCCCTTTTCACAGAATTCCATAAA